AATTGAGAAACTTCGGGATGAGAATTCCAATGTGCCCTACACCTGATGCAGTTCTATTGAACAGCTCAAGCTTCGATACCTAACGCTATTCGGGATAAATACCTCTTTAACGTGCTTCTCTCAAAAGCAACACATCTACTTGTATTAAAGACGTAGAAAAAATATTACATCAGGCTGAAATAGTGTTGGAGATGGCCATCATCCAAAAAAATACGAGTTAAACAAAAATTATCTTTTCACTGGCATAACTTCTTAATTACATGATACTTATATACATTTCAGCAACTTTTGATATAGTTTATTGAGATTTTCTAGATGCAAAAGTTGCAACAGTAAGCTGGTCAAAACGATAAACACAGTACATTACGCGTTTTCTTCGTATATTCAATAAAAGTACAAAAACTTCGAAATTTGCCGTTCAGATTCTGTAAGAGTTTAGAAAATTTTTTTATAGCTCTCTGGAAGCAAAAATGCATTATTCTCAACTTACCAAAATTCGCTACTCTTGAGGGAATCATCATTAACCTTACTAATGCGAATGTTCACAGGGTTTTGAATCTGCTGAAAACTCAATGAAGGCCAACATCGACACAAAGGGCACAGAATCAGCTGTTCCTAATTTGTCCACCACCTTAGCACAAAAAACAATTTTCTACCCTCGGTTCCAGTGCTCGCATCGCCCTGTTTTTGGACCTGTAGTGAAGTGGAAAGAATGCCTTTATAAAAATGAGATGTGCGAGCATTGGATGTAGAGTGATCGTTTTGGGTTGAGATCAAATTAGTACAAATTTGATTGTATATTCGCAGGTGTTGGCCCCCATCGCGAAATTTAGAAACTCGATTAATTAGCACTAGTAAAATAACCGGGAAGAAGTCTGAGTATAGGGAATTTAGCAGTGGGCCTAACAGTACAATTTTTTTTCCTTTAAAGAGAAGGTGGCCTTTTTTCTTAAGTCTAGAATCTAACCACTGCATTTTTCACAGTTTCGGGTAATTTCCTCATAAATAATGGGCAAAATCAAGGAAAGCATTGTATATGAGAAAGAAAAAATATGTTTATACCTTGACCAGTTTTCTGTTGCGCAATTTCTTCTGTCATTTCTTGCGCTCACTTAAGCGAATCAAAAATCATTAGGAAATGTGATGGTATGTCGACAAAG